AGAGAGTGCAGGGCTGGTAAGAGACGTGTGGGTGGAGTCAGGAGGAGGAATAGAAACCCTTGTAAGGAGGGTGTGTGCACTCAGCCCAGTCACTCTCAGTAGCATACCACAGGCACAGTGGATGGGACAAGTCTTCCTTCTGTGGGATCAACTCAGTGAATCCTCAGATATTCAGTATCTTCAGCCCCTCAGCAGCACCTTCCTGACATAGATAAGCTACATTATCACTTAACACATTTCCAAAGGCTACTCAGCAGCAGCATCTCTCCCAGCAGAGAAGTGAGGAATGATTTTTTTCAGTACTGAGGATTCAACTCTGGGCTTTCACAGTGACCTATGTCCCCAGTCACTTCCCATCCCTGTTTTTACTTTGAGACAGGGGCTCGCAGACTTACTAGGTGCTCAGGCTGGGCTTAAATTTGTGACCCTCCTGCCTCAGCCTCCCAGAGTTCTGAGGTTACAAGTGTGTGCCACCTTGCTCAGTTCAGAAGGAGAACTTTTAAGGATGTAAAGAAAACAGCAGATAGGTTAAAAGTAAATTTATTAAGAGAGATAAAATAGCTAATACACATTGAAATGCTGCAAATGGAAAATTATAACATGTAAATTACACTAATATTTCGCGAGCTGATTTTAAGCATTCGTTACTACATTTCCTCAATCTCCTTTTGAAGCTTCTCATTTCACTGCTTCATTAATACAACTTTCACTATATTTGATTTCTAAATACCTTGACCTACTCATTGCTCCTGGGTAGCCTCAGATGCAATCAACAAAGAAACACTCTTCACTCAGGGCAAAGAAAAGTAAACGCATCTTTGTTTGACTTTCCTGTACCCTTAACTCATCTTTTGCTTTAGACTTCCCTAAATGGTGTGGTTATAGTCTGGGTTAAAGATTTAAGGAGAACGGATGGAAAACAAAGACAAAAAAATGATGAGATGATTAAAAGGACAATGAGAAGAACCTGTGTAACTGTGGTCCAAATTAGACTCTAAAATGAGATGATTCTGTTGCAGGTCAGCTTCTCCAGAAGCCAGACCCCCAATACAGTTTCACATGGAGGCTGCTTATCAAGAAGTACTTCTAGAATGAAGAGTCTTGACAGAGAGTAGGTGGGTGGTAGGAGTGGGGGGACATCAAGTCGCCCGCCACTTAGGACTCAGGACAGCCTCTGCTGAACCACTGCAGCTCAGGAGCTAGTGCAGGCCTTCCCAGGGTGCCTCACTGGGCTGCAAGGGCGGGGCTTTACACCCCCACCCCGACATTCCCCAACTCCAGCTCAGCAGCTCACTGATGGGCAGCAAAGGTGATCTGCAAAGGCAGTCCGCCCTACATTCCTGGCAGCAGTGCTCTACCACAGACCTCATTTCACATTTTAAAGAAGGAGAAACTCAGGAAAGAATGATCAAGGAAATAATTAATTTACTTGGTTAAAAAAATTCTTGAATGGTATAAATTTCATAACATAAGGCATTATATAGGAAATTTTCAGACATCCAAGTTTTGTTGTGCTCTACAATGTTTGTTTTTGTTACCTATATAATATTACACAAACATTCTTATGGCCCCCTTTTCTGGGTCTTCTCTAATCTCAATAGGAAAAACACTAAAGTGCTAGTAATCAGGGCTGGCATTAATAGGGATGTACTTTACTTAGAAAGCTGGCAACCAAGATACATTATGTAGAGGTGCAAATTCCCAATGATGCATGTCATTATGTCGTATACCTTGAATGTAGCAATAAAATTAATTTAAAAAAAAGAAACAATGCTGGCAAACCTCTCTAGTTCTTAGTTTTCTAATTTTCCTTGAGAGTGAGTGGTTAGATGTGACACTTTCCCACTACGAATGTTGCGGAAGTTCTTTTCCTACATCTTAAGAATGACATTCTTGCATCCTGCTTCCCCTCCTACACACTTCAGGCACACTCCTGAGCCCACATTCCTCACACCTGCTTCCTCTGCTGGACGACTTCCCTCCTCATCACACAGCTGACTTCTTCTCCCAAGTGCTGGCATTAAGGTCATTGCTTCCAAAACTTGCATAATCTAAACTAATCCTGCCTGATAAGCCACATTCCTCTCACATCAACCTATTTTCTTACCTTGGTAACAGAATTACCTCAGATCATCTTGTTCATATATTTAAATGTTGTTCACTACTGTATCCTTAGCACAGATATTAGTGCCTGACATTTAAATATTCAGTAATTACTCTAAAGAATGAGACTTGTTTTTGTCTGTCAGACAGACAGACAAAAACAAGTCAAATTAAATCACTAGACTTAATATCTGTGCATGAAGCTTTGACAATCTGTGGCTAGCTCTTCATCTCAAAAGATTCACGGAGCTTGGGAATTCAATTTCTGGCAGGGTCAATGGAATGTCCTTTGTGATCCTGGCTGAATAGTTACCTTTACATGAAATATGGGTCACTTCAAGTCACACTTTCCACAACACATTAACTACATTAACTATGAAAAATATCAAGTTCTTATTTTCAACTGGACCTATTCAGGTTACAAAGTTCTATACATGTTCTCTTGTCTGTATTAAGGAAAATCCTTTTATTTACCTAAGACTCTAGTTCTTTCATCTCTGTAGTCATTTTAGACACTTGATTCTGGGTGGAAAATATCATGTTTACTCTACCACGTCATCTATTTTTGTGTGGCTTTAAATGTAATTTTCTTTCAGACATTATCTTTTGAGATCAAGAAGGAAATATTAGACCTAGGAAATACTGATCTAAGAAAGTAGATTTTCTTATAAAGGCCAGAGACACAGCAATAACTGGGATGGATGTCAGGAACATAAAAGCACAAACAGGAAAGACTTCTCTTAGCATCTGACATATATCATGAAAGATAGTACATTTTAGATTAAATTCTAGAATTATTTTTAAATGTATTTGGCAGGCCAATTTTTAAATAGCAATGTGTCACCAACTGAAATTAGTATTAGTTTCTCCAAGTTATCAGATAGTTCTTGTCTATGGTGACATTAAAGTGTAGAACACCTGGAAAAATAAAAAAATGAATCCTTGAATACAGGCAAGAAACTTCAGTAATCATTTTCACACGAGGAACAGTTTCATGGTACACCATAGTCTAACTGGGTCTTATATACTAATCACACAGGATGTTACCTTAAATAATGTAACAATTCAGGAGAAGAACAAAATAATTATGGACCTCTGACATGTTTTATACACACACTTCAGTAACAGAATCAAATTTAAAATGTTGTCCAAGTGATATGTCAGGATAATTACTTTTCCTAAATGATACCATAACAAGTCTTAGATGGCACAGTTACTAGCCTCAAGGAAACAGAACAAATAAAAAGCTAAGTCAAAGGCAACTTTATTACAATACTTTTCCAAACTTCAAAGTGCATTATTTCTGAATTTTGATCTAATATATAATACATTATATTATAAGGCAGAAAGCATTTCTGGTCAGATAGTTAGCTTCCATGTATTTCCCAAAAAACAGCTTCTGAGGAATAGCAGCATCACGCAGTACTTTACAACAAACACTAAGTAAAATTTTTCTCTGGAATCTCAGAATCATTCATACTACAATTTGTTTTATGTTATTTTCCTCTAACTTAAAAACCAAGCATAGCTATCTTTTCATATCTTACTAACACCTGAAAATTCACTATACCATAAAAACATTCAATAGCTTAGGTATAGTTCCTTTAGTAGAAAACAAGATTTCGAATCTAAGCAAAGCAAAAGAATACTGTTATTCCCTCATGGCAAACAGCAAAGTTCTCTTCTTTCTTTCAGGGGCTATATCTCAGCCTCCTGCTCTTCTTCATATAGCCATCCTGATTAGAATCTGCTTTAAAAAATACCTAAATCTACAATGAATTTCACTAAGAAAAATCTTTCTTTAGTCTTGTCTCCCTTGTATTTCCTTTCATAAAATAATTTACAATCAATTCAAAACAATCCATAAAAATGAACTTAAAAATGATTTTGGGAAATATAGTAACACAAAGAACATATTTTCCAAATTAGACAAGGATATTATTTGTTCATGTACTTTTGCTTCAACTAATCACACAAATCCAACTTACAAAAATTCCTTTTCCAAGGTGACTACAATAATAACAATGGAAATGTGTACATCCACTGAATAGATCTAGTCCCATCATTTTCTTTCTGTGGTTTTATATTTGTGACCTACCAGCTAGCACAAAACATGTTTATCCTCCTCAGTTTCACAACAATAGGAAATTGTTAGAAAAGTATAGCATAGAAAAGGCTCTATTTTTCCACAAGGCATATTAATACAGATTTTGCTATGAAATTGAAAAAGAAAAAAGTGAATGAAAAGGCACATGCTGGCTGCTTGGGGGGCAAGGCTCATAAATCACTGTACATTAAGAGCACGAGCTGAAACTTCATGGTGCCAGTCACGTAATTTTGTGTATTTGGGACTAAAGACGTGAAGGGGTATCTTTTCCCTGTGGAAATAAAAAAATAAAGAAAAAAGAGTGACAGAGTCATAAGAAAGACAAAGAAAAAGACCCTACATCAAGTCCACCATGCAGAAAACATGCCTTCTAAAAGCTTAATTGCACATAGCTGTTTTGTTAAGTAGCAAAGATTTTAAAAGGTAGAATGGTTTTAGAATTACAGAAAGTAATCCAAAGAGTCCTTCTGGAAACATTCAAATAAAGTGACTGCAAGACAACACAGCTCATTCACAGAGAAATTTACTGTTAGCAAAGCACTACCCAGGCCCTCTGCCCACTTCTTATTTCAATACTAAGGAAGATAAAACAAACACAAAATTAACAATATATACTAATTTGGAAGTCTGTTAAGTTGTACATTTAGGTCATACTAATGGCTCTAGGGTTAAATGTTTAGCTTCTATTTGTAAAGACAAAATGCCAAACCATTACACCTAAAAAATTTGACAAACAAACCGAGACCATTCATGAAAAGAAAGTATTCAATATGCAAAACAGAGAACTTACTTTGCCTTTTTTGTATTCTCAGCTTCAGATTCTTTCACTGAAATATAATAATATCCAATATTAGGTTACTATTTTAACATGAAAATCATTTTAACAAGTATATGATATGCATCAATCATTACCAATGTTCAAGCTTCAGAGAGCTACTGAGTAAAATTCCATGCCACATGGTTTTAGCTATATACCATAGTCAGGACTCTTCCCCTGACCAACATAATTTTTCTGGACTGATGATACCTTATTTACAGCCTAATTTAAAAATGCACTGTCCTAGTATTGTTTTGCAATAACTGCCAATATGCTACTCTCTGGGCCACAGAACATGCATCCATGAGGATGCCCGGAAGCTCACTTACGATGTTCGGTCCCAGTAATCTGGGCGAGGATGCGGAAAGAGCGGGACTGAGTTGTTCCAGTCCTCGGACGCCAATCTTCAGTGTCCTCCATCAGCCTCTTCTTGCTGGCATCACTGTGAGTGGGTATGTGATAAAACTCTGTATTGCGCTCCACAATGTGTTTCCGTGGTGGGCTAGGATAAAGAAGAAAGAAAGAATTTTTAAAACCTTAAATTTTATGACAAGGATAAAATATCCTCTAGTACATTATTTATATTTTATATATTTAAGCCTCAAATAAGCAAAATTTATAGAAATAGCTTGTCTATGCAGGTATATTCGGCCTCATTTTTGTTTAAAAGACCTTGCTAAATAGCTTAAGGTTTTTATAGTAAAAAAAAAGTATACTGCTAATATCAACTACCATTACAAAGATGCGTTCAATAGGAAGATTACCGTTTAGGTGGAAATTTCCTTTTAATTGACAGAAGAAGGCAGCAGAAGAAAAATTTCCAACATGAAGAAAAGGAAAGGAAAAGAATAAGAAAAAAGAAAACTAGAAAATGAAAAATCTACAGTAGTCAAAATCAAACAATTTGAAATTACTTGTATCACTCACATTCCACGTAAAACAAAGATATGGACTATGATTTAACCACAATTAAGTATTATATTAATATACTACTTCAAAAGTAGCTTTCACAAACGTCAGTAACTTCCGTGTTCACTAGACCTAGAGACCAAGAATGGTCAGGTTATAGGCTAAACTAGTGATTCCAAACACAATTTTAAAGAGTCAGAATTCTTGCTTTCTACAGTTTTCTCACTCATGTGTACA